CTGCTACGGCAGGTAGGAGCCTGTGGGGGACCATGGGAAGGACCTGATTCATCTAAGCCAGGATGTGTGCACATTAACCTTGGCTTCCTACCTGATGCTGTTGTGAGCAGTCTGAGTCACTTTCCTTCTTCTAGGCATCCTCTCTCATGGCTCTTTGCCCAAATCCCACCAGGCAGGAAGGATGTGCCTGTCACAAGACCTCCTTTGATCTTTGGGGATGCTTTAGAAAAAAAACCTGGAGGGTGTTGGCTCAGTAGTCCTAGGCCTTGTGTCTCCTCACCCTAGATAGAGGTCACAAAGGGGGCTAGACCCCCATCCTTTAGGCACAGAATCATCATTCAGAGGAGGGACATGTTCTTGCTTCTTCTCATCTTGACTTTTCTGCATCTTGTTAGCAGTGGACACATTGTGCTAAGTGCTGGGATCCAGTCAGAGGAACCCTGTACCACCTCCTCCTGGTTTGATAGGATGTCACATCACCCTGGATTTCCTTAGGGATCAATGAGGCAGGGGTATCCCAAAGACCCCCATAAGGAAGTGTCAGCACTTCTTGTGCTTCTTCCAGCTCTTGGCTCCTCTGTGATAGGTCAGAAACCAGGTCTCTGGACACTAGATGTTTCACCCTCTCTCTGTGTCTCTAGCCCCATCTTCTTCCTCATGTTCCATACATCTAGAGCTTTCCCTATGATCTCTATCACTGCTCTAGTGTTTCAAGAGCACATTCAACCACCTTATTATGTCCACCTGGGGTCTCAGTTGGCCACCGACTCCTTAGGCCCTAGTAGAACCTTGCCATGGTAAATTCCAGGATCTGTACCTCCAGCTTTCCAACTTTGGTTCTCCATACAACTCCCCCATCCCCAACCATGGTCCCTTCCCAGCTCCTCACTCACTCATATGAGTCTTTGCTCAGATGCTCTCACATGTGAAAGAAATCTTTCTTCTCTTTATAAAAAGTCTTACTCATTAACACTACCTTCTCTCTCCTTAACAACCGGCAAAGTGTCTGTGCTCTTTTCAAGGCCAATTACTTGACTTGGGTGGGTATTTACTCCCAATCCCTTACCTCTGTACCACCACATTCCTCCAGCAGTTCTCCTTTCCCTTATGCATAATCAATTTACCCCTCTCAACTGGATCTTTCCCATTGACATCCAACATGCTATATCTCCCATCTAAAAAAACGAACAAAACAAACAAACCCTCTGGATCCCACTTCCTTATCCAGCTATTCCTCATTTTTCTGCAACTCTATGGAACAAAACTCCTGAAGGAATTAATTATACTATCACCGACAGCTCTCTTCCATTCCCTCTTGAATTCACTTCAGTTACACCTTTACCTCTATTACTCACCTGAGTCAGTTCTTCTCAATGCCGTGAGTGATCTCTGTGTTGCTAAATTTAGTGGTCAACTCCGAGTCCTCATCTTGTTTGGGCGATTTGCAACTTTTCATGCAGTAACTCACTTTCTCCTTGCAATGTTTTCCTCTCTTGGCTTCCAGTGTACCGCACACTCTTCCTGGATTTCCTTCTTTCCTGGCTACTACTACTCAGTCTCTGCTTGTTGGCTCCTTCTTTTCTTCCCAGTTTCTTAATGTTGAAGAGTCCCAGAGCCCAGTCCTTAGTTCTCTCCTTCATTTACACTCATTACTTTGGTGATCTTATCTGATCTCATGGTTTTATGAGTCAATCAATCAACCAACCAATCATCTGTAGCCAGGACCCTCCCTGAGAAACATCATGATTCTGTATTGAGAATAGACTGTTGGAAGTATGGTCTTAGGAAGAAGCAGGGAGATTAGTTATGATGCTACTGCAGTAATAATAGCAGCAGAAGGAGTTAGAAGTGGTCATGTATAGGATTTGTTCTGAAGACAGAGACATCAGAATTTACTGATGGATTGGAAGTGGAGTGTTGGAAACAAAAGTCAAGTATGGCACCAAAGTGTTTGACCTGAACAACTGGCAAGAGAGAGATGCCATTAATTGATGTGGGAAATACTGTAGTGGGAACAGGTTTGGTGTTTTTGATTGGGTGGTGGTGGGTGTACAGGGAATCGGGAGTTCGCTTTTGAGATGAATATTGGATATTCAAGTGTATATGTTTAGACAACTTGGGCATGTAAGACCTTCTACTCCATAAGATAATGACCTCCATGGAGGCAAAGCCCATGTCTTGGTGACTGTTGTGTATGGCATGGTTCCTCGAACACAGTAAGTACTCAAATATAATTGTTGAATGTCAGATGGCTCTTAAGGTAATTTTTATTGTGACCCCTTTATGTTATCCTCAGGTTCTCCTTATCAGCTGAGTGCTTCCTCCTGTGTCAGAACCCCATATACCATAGCATTTATCCCACTGATGTAATAATTTAGCTGCCTTCCCAGTCCAGTCTCATGATTTGTGGTTTTAAATACATCTAGCTATCTGTCTGTCTATCTATCTATCTATCTATCTATCTATCTATCTATCTATCTATCCATCCATCCATCCATCCATCCATCCATCCATCCATCCATCCGTCTATCATCTATCATTTATCTATCATATGTATATCTGCTTATCTAGCTGTCTGCCTGCCTGCCTAAAGCCTGGGCCCTTCCCTGAACTCTGGGATCATATGCCCAATCATCTAATGAACATATGCATTTGAATGTCCAATATCTATAACTGTATGAAAATGAACTCCTAATTACCCACCCCCACCCCAATCACACATGCCACCCTACTCCAATCATAGTATTTTTTACATCAGTTAATGGCAACTCCATCTTGTCAGTTGTCCAGGCCAAAAACAGTGGTGTCATCTTTGATGGTTTTTCTTCTCTGTCCATATCCAGTCTATCAGCGAATCCTGTTTTCTCTACCTTCAAAAAGAATCCAGCATCTAAATACTTTTAATCGCCTCTGCTTCTACCATTATTGGAGTAACCTCATAACTAATTTCCCTATTTTTACTAAAGTCTATTCCCCCAACACTCTATTAGCACCATAGCCTAAGTGATCCTTTTAAAATGTCAGATCTAAGCAGACTCCCTGATAGGTCCCCCATTTACTCGAAGTCAACAGCTTTGCAATGACCTTCTAGGCCTTATCCCACATGCCCCCCTTACTGCTCTGACCTCATCCTCTACTATTTTATCCCTTGATTATTCTACTTCAGGCTCGCTGACCTTGATCCTCGAAATAAGCTACGTATGTTCCAACCTCCCGACATCTGCATTAGCTTTAATTTCTGACCAAAATGCTCTTCCTCAGTTATCCATGTGGTTTACTCTCCCATCTCCCTCTAGTCCATGCTCGCATGTTAACTTCTTAGTGAGATCTGTCCTGAACTCCCTATTTAAACTGTCTTATCTATTTCTTCCCCAAATTCATGCTCTTGATTTTTTGCATATATTTAGTCACCTTCTACATACTATATTTTTTTACTTATGCTTCTTTTATCTCTCTCTCTAGTGTACCATCAATGTAAGCTTGTTGGGGACAGAGCTTTTTTCTCCTTTCTTTCAATGTATTTCCAGCACCTATATAAGTGCCTAGCATAGAGTAGATGCTCAACATTAGTTGAATAAATGAAAAAATGGATGAGTTAATGCCATTTATTCTCCAGATTGGCAGCCTCATTCCAATCCCTCAAATATTTTGATACAGTTTTTGATTATAAGTATTTCTCTGGCAAGTCACTATTCTCTAGTATGTTGTGCCCATTGATTTGACACTATGCCTTTGCTTATGTTGTACTCCCAGCCTGTGGAAGCCTCTCTACTCCCCACCTCCCTGACGGCTAACTTCTGCTCATCCTTTGAAACTTAGTCTACACATCACCTCTCCCAGGAAAATTTCCATGAACACCCCCCAAAACTAGGTGAAATGCCTTCCTGTGTACTTTTGCTTACTTACTCTAACCAGCTCTTTCCACACTGCTTCTGGTGACATTTTAACTCTCTATTCCAGAAGTCCATGAGCTCCAAGGGAGGAAGGTCTGTGTGTTGTTCACCATTGTGTCCCTAGTGTCTGGCATAGTACCTCGCACACAAATTACTCAGATATTTGAATTACTGAATGCAAGACTCAGCTCAAAGTTATTTTTACTGTGATCCTTTTGGGGACTTTCTCATCAATTGTTCTTCATTTTAGGAGGCATCCATTCCATGCATTTGAAAGGCAATGATGATCAAACAGGCAGCAGGACTACAGAAGATCTTTATCCCTTAAAGATCTAATCAGTAACAACAGAGCATAGTGAGGGAAGATTCTATTCTTTGCTTTTGATATCTGTCATATTAGCTTTGTGCTTTTGATAAACACAAAGCACCTCCTCAAGGATGGAGCACGCCCCTCTAAAAACCTTCTCTCTAGATTGTGGCCATATATAGAAGTTACCCATGAATTGTGCCTATGGGCCAAAAATGCACTGGATCCCTTACCACTACTGCTTGTACTATCCTTGTGTCCATATTGCTCCTTTGGGCCCAAAGACACTATGAAAAGCCATGATAGAATTCAAGCCTGATCTCTACCTTCAATGCACCTTAGATGAGTCTTCCTTTTCTGCTCAAGTCCCTTTATCTGAAGTTCAAAGAGTTGTATGGAATGTTGACCCATCTGATCCATCTGAAATATGGGCTTAAGCTTTAGTACCATATGGGAAGTACTATCTACCTCCTCTATTCTCTCCATCATATACCGCATTGAAAATAAGGAGGCACAAACAGGTGGTTCTTTGCTTAGAGATATAGAATATATTTGGAGATGGTCCTGCCTCACTTGCACATTAATTGAAATGATGATGACAGCCTTTTGCAGGGGGATGCAGACGACTGGGAAACCATGGACTTCTTTCTGGACTGGGTATTCTCCTTGCATAAACCAGTGCCTTCTGCTGGGGTAAGAGTTGAGACCTGGGATGGATTTTCTGTTTGAGTGGCACAAGTCAACTGAGGACAGTACTCGAAGCTGTTGTGGGAAAGGCACTGGAACCAGGCGTGGCTGGACTAAAGGGGGTGTTGATGCTGTTCATTGTCTACGCACTGGCAGGCATCAAAGAAGGTCATGCCCTCCTCCTCTGTTTTCTTCTCCAACTTAGCTGGCCTCACAGGGCCTTTGTTGAGGGGTGGACTCTTCTCAACATTTTTTGTCATAGTTTTTTCTACTGTCTCATCCTTAGAGAGAATGGATTCCTTATGCCCTTGACCTTTCACCTTGGGGTTAATCCAGTGTAGAAAGTGCTTCATCTTATTTCCCAAGCCAGCTTCTGTAGCTTCTGCAAGGGTGGGGCACTTGTGAGTATGAGCTGCTTTTACCAGACCCTATAGCTCTAGGCCCTAGAAAGCCCTACAAATTTTGTCCCTGCAAAGTTTGGTTCTGAAAAATGTGGCTCCTTCAAATGCTGAACCTGAAAATTTAGCCAGCAAATTATGGTCCAAATTATGAAAGAGAGCTGGTGAAGGTGCTGACAGGGAACAGTAAGCTAAGAGGATGGAGATGGTGGCTCTACAGATTCAGACAGATTCATATTAGTCCCTATTCACTCAAGGCAACCATCTTGGTAAAACTGAAATTCTACCTGAGAAGAGCCTGGAGATACATTTGGGAAGTTGGGGCTCTGGTGGTTCTACTTAGAAGTGTCTCTGCTGGCCCCTGAACCTCCTCAGAGTAGATGTTCTCTCTGCTTAGGGAGAATCTCAACACTGCACCCCCTTCTCTGTGATTCTCTGCTATTTTGAGTTTCCCTGGGCCCTGTTTCCTCTGCTGGGGTAGGGAATTGTCTTCACCCTTGCAGAGACCTGGGGCTAAGGGGTCCAGGGCTCCTCCAGGCTGAGGTTGTTCGCTCTGGCCTCCAGCTGAACACAAAGCACCTGGGTCTCTGTTATGTCCCCACTGGGTTGTGAAATCTTAGAGGACCAGTGGGAAGAACCATAAGTACTGCTCTGGAATTAGCTTGCTTTTGGTTCTGTTATACCACTTTAGTTTAGTTGCAAGCTGTTCTTTAAGGGGAGGTCATCTGGGATACATGGGATGCCTGGTGGGATGGGGAGTTCCTGGGGCAATATTTTCCCTTGCTTTTTAGACTCCTAAAGTACTATTAGGCACCTATATTCCTTGGGACAATCACAATTTGTTCCCTGGACTCCTCTGTCTTTATGAGATTTCCCGAATGTATCTCCAGCAATTTCTTTTTCAGGTTAAAATTTAGTTTGGCCAAAATGGGTGTCTTGAGTGCAGAGGGGCTAGCAGGGTCTGTCTGGATCTCTAGAGGCACCATCTCTGTTCACTCATACTTCAGTCTGGAATGCTTATGCACTGTCCACGCAAGTTTCATTGGCATCTTGAAAGCATGGCTCAGGAATTATACATTGATGTTTAGATGAGTTTGAGCCAAAGGCTCTGTTGGAACCCCAATAGGCCAGGTATAATCTCTGAGACTGCTGATTGGCTAGTGATTGCCAGGGCCATGCCTTTGGAAAGAGCCACATAATAAAGAGCCAGAGGCCTGACAGGAAGGCCAAACTTGTCTCCTGTTTCTCAGTAGTTCCCTGGGGATACCCACACAGGTGCTGATCAGGGTGATAAGTGACAGCATCTGGTGAGGCTTGTTGCTGCTGGTCTAGATGAACTCTGGCAGCTCTGGGCGTGCTCCAGGAAAATATTACTTGCCTCCTCAGGACTGACTATTTCAAATAGGCTTCCCCAAATAGGTAGGCTCCTAGGTCTCAGGAGAAGAGTTAATTAACATGTCTCAGGGATTCTGTTGTATGGTTCTCTGCATCAACAGAGATATTTGGGCAAAAGCTGTCAAGCCCCACTAAAGCCAGGGCTGCCTGTGCAGCAGGTGTCACTCCAAGGCTTCGTACTTGGCCAGAGTTGGAAATGGGACATTGATATGGGTTTGTTGTTAGTCAGATGCAGAAACCCGAATTCAGAAACATGGGACGAAGGTGGGGCTAACTGAGGTGGAGGAAATTTTAGACAGCACAGAAATTAAGGAGAAATTATTGAAGAGAAAGGAGCTGGGGGCACCTCTTTTGTGGAGAGATATCCAGGAGCAAATCATTGTGCAGAAAAGAGGAACCATAGGAAAATAGTTGGGTTTATGCTGCAGATAACACACTGAGGCCTCAGTGTGTCCCCCAGACAATGGACAGAGACCACTTAGTAACCAAAAGGTGGTAGAGGGGAGAACCAGAGCCATGGAGTTTGGGATTTACCTACATTGATATTTGCTCTGAGTCCACAGTGGATCCTTCAAAACCCCAGGAAGTTTGGGTGAACTGGCTGCTCTCCCATGAATCCCAGGTCAGGGAGATAAAAGCCCATCTATTCAACAGAGGCCTTAGATATAGCATTATGATGAAAGAAATGGCTGTCTTTTCCTTCAGGTTTGGAAAATATTTGGGGCAGTGTGATACAAGCTGCCGTAGGAACTCTTCTACAGATCTTGGAAGCCCTCAGGTGTAGAAATGCATGCATTCATATATCTATACTTAAAGATACCTAACAGCTCTTGTGACATAGGAATAGCAAGTAAAAGGAATCCAAGGCCATGGAATATTTTAGGTTCATGAGCTCTGGATTCAGAGAAAGGAATAGAATCAGGTATTCGAGGGCCGCTGACCTTGTTTCTCCAGGACACATTTGGAATTGCTCTTCTTCTTGTCCTGCTGGTTCGTAGGAATCCTATGCTCCTCAAGGCTTGAAGAATACAGAGCTCCTGCATCCCAGGACATACATTGTGTTTGAAACCCCTGCTTTCGCTGGTGTTTAGCCCGGTAATCTTGGATGGTGGCTGCACTGGTTGACTGGGCAGTTGACTGGACTGAGGATTTCTGATCAGTTAGCTGTGACATGGAGGGGGTTGTAGATGGAAGTGAAAGCTCTTGGGAGTGATGGGAACCTTGATTCTGCCCAAAAGACATATTAGACATGGAAAAAATCTCTGGGCAAGAGGAGGCCCGTGATAGCCCTGATGAAGTGGGAGAGACCAGGGTGTTCTCACCCTCCAGCAAATGCTGGATCTCTAGAGCCACAGCATTGCAGATGGGGCAGGAAGGATCTGCACACAGGAGCCTCCGCACACTTCCCTCCTGAGGAAGCCAACCTTGTCTAGGAAGGAAAACATGGCAACAGTTAACAATGGAATGACAAGTGTGTGGCCTGGAGCTTATCCCTGCCCTCCCTAGTCCTACAAGGCCTGGGGCCTGCACCCCCTGGGCTTTCTAGAAAAGTCATGGTGGGCTGGGCTGAGGGTCTGGGGCTTGTTGGGCAAGGTCTCAGACAATCCATGGGAGCACAGTGACATGGGAGACTGGGAGGTAAGGTGAGTCCTCTGTTGGCCTCTGTTGAGAAGTTAAACCAGGACAAGGGAACAAGGATGGGGGAGTCAGTGGTTGGCCGATGGGGCATCACCAAGGACTTCACTAGGTTGAACCTGGAGTCTGTCTCGTTTGGGACTAAGAAGGCTATAGACTGGTAGGCAGAGTTTCCAAATTGTGAAAAATGAGGTCCTTGTGGGAGCTTTGCTTTCTTGGGACAATAAGGTGTACACAACACATCTTGGGAGACAATCGCATTCTCTAGAGTTTTTAAGAAGAGGATGAGATCATAAGCTCCTGGCTGAGGGCTGTCCCAGGAACTGGCCTCTGAAGACAGAACCAGAGGAGGTAATGTCAACAGGGTCCAGGGCCTGTGTGTGAAAAGGTGTGGCTATAAAGAGACAATGACAATGGTGAGTTATTTATGCACATATTTATCCATTCTCTTGCCTGCATAACTTGTCTTGTGGCTGAGTGCAAACCCATAGAGAGTGTTTAATGAATTATGCAGTAGTCAAATCCTGAACTGCAGGAGCACTGTGAGCCTAGCTCAGAGCAGAACTGGGAGACTCCTCTCTGAGATGTCTGAACCCCGCTCTGTCCTGGCACCCTCTCAACCAGTGCTCCAGCCTCCACTGTGTCTGGCTCCCTCCCAGCCATTATCCCTCTCTTCATCCCTGCCCCAGGGCAAGCACAGAAATTCATCACAGGCCAGGCCAGAGTTGGGAGACTAGGAAGAGCAAGAGATCACCTTTTCATGATAGAGAGCAGCTCCCATGGCTTCTCAGCTTCTTTCTGAGAAAGTCTTGAAAGTCCCCTAGCTGAGAAACCAGGAGACAGTGTTATGTGGAACAGGAGAGGCTTCACGGATATCCTATAGACAGCTGAAGGTCTTTGAATGAGAGGAGACTGAAAACCCCAATAGTCGATGCTCTAAGGCATGTCTGGGTAGGACTTAACCAGTTACCATGTGTTGTCCCTGAGCTAATCCTATTAGACCTTCACAACCACACTGTGACTGAGGCAGGATGTTCAGATGCCCATTTCATGGATAAAAGACAGAGATGAAGTAATAACCATAGGGTCGTAAAACTAGTAGATGACACAGTTAAGGACTTCTGCCCTACTTCCTCATTCTATTCCCTGGGGTAAGGTGGAGAATTTTGGAACATTCTCAGGCCCAGATTTCCCACCCAAAGAATTTTTCTGAGAGAGTTTGTCAACTTGGGAAATTGGAGCCTTCAGTGATTAGAGCACCTGGCTCTTGACACTGGGGGTCAAAGAGGGGCAGGATCTATGGGGATCTCATTCACAGTGGAGGGGAGTCATAGAAGAGACTGAGATTTTACCTCTTGATGTTCTATATTTAGCCCTTTGTTTGACTCTCTGGTGGTGCTAAAGACAAAAAAAAAAAAAGAGTGTGAAGCTGGGGCACCCTTTTCTTTTCACATCTAAAATGAGGCAAACCCCACAAATATTTCCCAAACTTTTTCTGTATACCAATTTTATATATTCTCCTACCTTTCTTTTTCCTATTCTACATTTCCCACCCACCCCCATCATTTCCTTTCTCATTTCTGATTCATTTTGAGGCTCTTTGATACTCCATACCTCCACTCCCATTCCCTGAACAAGATCTGTGGAGAGATTAGAATGAGACAGGAGAAAAAGTAGAACAGATTAAAGAATGAGTGGTCTAGTTGTCAAGGATTTTAGCTATCCAAGACTCTAAATGTCTACCAACTAGAAGAACCACCTAAATTTGGAGCTGTTCTGGGAAACCCCCAGTAACAACAACAACAACAACAACAACAACAAAAAAAAGCAAGGAGTAAGAGTAACAAGAGAAAGATTTCAGTTATGGTCATAATGTTTCCCTACCCGGCAACAGCTCCTGTTAGGTCTCAACCTTAATTTTCGATGGTTCTTTTTCACTTGCCAAACAATTAATGCAATAATGATGATGGAGCCATAAGTGTATAAGGGATATCCAATATCCCACAGTACAAAGGTAGGGCTCAACATATTCTAAACCTCACTAGCCATCCTCTTCCTAGGCTTTCCAGATCTTGGAACCTAATGCCACCATATTCTAGACCCTGTCATCTCTGCCTCACAGAGGATGGAACCAGACCATCAGACTGCATCACAAAGCCCTCCTGTTTCACAAGGCATACAGAGCACCCAGACCTTTATCTGTCTAGGAGAAGCTCATGTAATTCAGGGTTCAGATAAGGGTGTCTGGTTGTGTGGGTTGCAGAGCCTAGGCCTAAAGGTGCCAAGGTCACTGACAGCATATATTCTTTCATGCTCTTTCTATCCTTTCTACTCTGATGGCTCAGCTCTCTCCTTTAAGACAATAGTCTGACATCTACAGTTAACTGAGTCTTTATGTACACTGCCTGCTCTGTAAGAGAGATAGTGGCCAGGTCAGAGGAACTCCATGAATTAAATCATCTATAGTGGGAAGATATCTAAAAAACATACAAGAGGAAGGGACATGCAATGTCTTGTTAAGTCTTGAAAAGAGAGAGTTTTGATGTCACAGGCAATAAATAGGTAATCAATATTGAAAAGTTCAGGAAGAGAACCATGTCTGACATGTCAAGGAAAGGACACAGCTTCTGTTCTTTTAAATAACTTTCTTATTTAAAGAAGGACTCCTCCCAATCTGTGTGGTCAAGCTTCAGATGGGCAGGAAGAGACTGTAAACAGTGTCTTCTATGGAGGCACATGAATGAGTCTCACCTCTGAAGCTTGATTTTCCAGATGGCCTCTACAGATCTTATAGCATCCTGCCTGTTCATGGAGATGGATTATTGACAAGAATTTTGATTAAGGATCACAAACTTGTGGCTTGTTGGTTGATTCCATCATGGTTGGAATGTTTGGCTAAGTGTTTTATGAAAGTCTGAATTTGAACACCTTTAGGCAGGGCAAGCTTGTTCCTGTTCATCATCAATACTCACCACTATCATGCCCATTGATTCACATATTAATGTTGACTTCACGGACCCTGTTGACATTGTGATATGCTTCCAACACTCCAGGAGTTCTGAATTTCCTTAAGAAGTTTTCTCCCTGATGAGAGTGATCCCACAGCCCCACAATTCTTAGGCCCCCAAAATCTCTGAAGAGGCTATTTGGTCCTGCCTTCAGCATCCAGTCCTCCACAGAACAAGTATGGCGAGCACTCAATCTGATCTCTCAAGACACTTAAAAATCTAATTTCAAAGACAAAACTAATTCGCATGAATCAAGAACCAACCTTATCAGGGGTTGGGGAAGAGGGGAATAGGGAGTTATTATTTAATGGGCAGAATTTCTGTTTGGGATGAAAAAAAGTTCTGTAAATAGTAGTGGTGATGGTTGCACAACATTGTGAATGTACTTAATGACACTGAAATGTACACTTAAAAATGGTTAAAGTAGTACATTTTGTATTAAGTATATTTAACCACAATTTAAAAGACAAAAGGCAGAGAAAACAATCATTAGCATGAGGAACTTTTTACTAGCTGTAAGGAAGAATATTCTGAAAATGATTTGATAAAGAAATGGACTAGTGAATGTTTTTCTTAAATGTTTTTATTTTTTTTATATATTTTTCTTTTTTCTTTTTTTTTAGGCAAGGCAACCCTTAGTTGACCTCACAGATTGCAAGGACCTTGTCAGCTTACAATCCCTTATTTTTTATTTTTTATGCCTACAGCACCTGATCTTCCTAGGTGGTCTCCCATCCAAGTACTAACCAGGTCCGACCCTGCTTAGCTCCAAGATCAGATGGGATCAGGCTTGTTCAGGGTGGCATGGCCGTAGACTCTCTTTATATTTTAATTTTAAATATAGATCCTTACATTTCAGATAATTTAATAAGAAGAATCTCACCCTGAATATGGGATGAATTTGAGCCATTTCAACATCTTTTCTCAACTTGCAAATTCCATAACACAGTACAGGGAAGACTTTTTTCAGCCAAAGAACACTGAATGATAGGTTAGCAAAAATCAACTAAAAAGCAGCTTGCATCAGACTTTTAGTAGCCAGTCAAGATACCTACAAAGTAATTGAATCTTTTATTACTTTTATTATTCCTACCCAACCTGCTCCTGCTTCCTGAAGCTGCTGCTGTCCTCTATGCTGCTCCAACGGTTCCGTCTCACATTCACCTGATCCGGAGTGGCGCTGCATGGCGTTTGGTGTCCTCCTCCTCTGGGCTCTGAATACATGTGATTAACAAGCTTCTATTAATCTCAGAGGTCTAGTATCAGTGTTATTCATTCAGCCATTCCCAGAACCCTAGGGTGGGACTCTCCCCCTAGCCAACGGGATGGAGAGGAGTTTAACAGAATACTAAATATCCTACTCAACCAGCTTCTGCTTCCTGCAACTGCTGCTGCCTTTTTGCTGTCGAAACAGTGTTCAGTCTCCATTAGCCTGATCTCTTGTCCCAGGCAAAACCATCGAAACCTGCAAACTTCACACCTGCTCCAATCGATGTACTTACCTTACAGATAACCCATAGCCACTGTCATCCCACTAAACCATTTAAACCATCTGCTGCAAACTCCTCTACAGAAGCTCACCCAGCCTCTGCTCCTCTCAGATCTGAGGAGTTAGAACCAAAGATAATCTTATGCCTTTTGCAGAATTGGCCTTCAGTACAGGTTTATGTATTGATTTTGTACTTGTTGATGGAGGGTGCTTCTGTGGATAGGGCAGTGGGGTCAGTGTCTTCCTAAACACAGCACATGCGTGTAATGAACATACTGTTTGTCATTTTCAATTATGTGGGTAGAGATCCTCACAGTTGCCCTTCTTGCCTCATGGTTTATAGTGAACAGCAAACAAGGGAGATGAAGTACATGAAAAGCCTCTGTGGACACTGGAGGACTACATAATTCTAAAGGATTAATATTCATTTGTTTCTAGCAAACATGCTAAAGCCAGACCTTGCTTTCATGATAATGTTATAGCACCACGGTCATTGTAATAGTAGAATTTCCTCAGAAAACTATTCACGGTTATTGATTCATATGTACCATGGGTCATATCATAGCCCTATAAATATCCTGACAGACATGCCACCAATGTGTGTTGTCTCTCTATCCAAGCCTTATGAGGGAGTTTTGCTATGTCTTTCTCAGAAAATATTACTGATTACCTCAGATATGCCAAGGTGTTGGGACAGAGGAGCATAATTTTTGCTATTGTGCAGCAACATTTTTATACATGAGCATTTTTATTAATGCCCAAGAGCTAAGATTTCCAGAGAGTTGGACAGGAAGTCCCAGAGCAGTGTCAGGCAGCAAGACCACCAGCACTCAGCAGTGTTACTACACTATGCAGAAGTGTAGCAAGCAGCCAGAGGCACTAGAGGGCAGCACATGCCCACTTAACACTCTTAGGCAGGCGAGCTCAGTAACAGGAACAGGTTATCTACTCCAGTAGCTCTCAATCCTAGCCTCACATCAGAATCGCTGGGAGGCTTGTAAAAATATAGATTTCTTAGCCTTACCCCAGACTTAATCAGAATCTCTAGGGGCAGGGTCAGCAATCTATACATTATGAATGAAAAATAATCCTCATAAGATAAAGCACTGGGCTCTAGGTGTGTATTTGGTAGCAATTGGCCTCCAAACAGCAACAGCTCTCCCTTCCCCCGTTTTATTGACATATAATCAACATAATATTGTATTAGTTTAAGGTGGACAACATAATGGTTTGATACATGTATATATTAGTAAATGATTACAATAAGTTTAGTTAACTTGCATCACCTTACATGTTATATGTTTTTTTCCTGTGATGAGAACTACTCTCTTAGCAACTTTCAAATATACAATGCAGTATTGTTAACTACAGTCACCATGCTATATATTAGATCCCTAGAACTTATCTTATAACTGGAAGTTTGTACCTTTTGACTCACCCATTTTCCCCTCATCCACTGCAGCTGGCAACCACATAACTGGAAGTTTGTACCTTTTGACTCACCCATTTCCCCCACCCCTCATCCACTGCAGCTGGCAACCATCAATCTGTTGTTTTTATGAGTTCAGGTTTTTTTTAGATTCCACATTTAAGTGAGATCACATAGTATTTGTCTTTCTCTGTCTGATTTATTTTACTTAGCATAATGCCCTCAAGATCCATCCATGTTTCCACAAAAGGCAGGATTTCCTTCTTTTATTTACAGCAGAATAATATTGCATTGTGTGTGTGTGTGTGTAACACATCGTCTTTATCCATTCATCTCTCAATGGATGCTTAGGTCTTAGCTACTGTAAATAATGTTGAAATGAACATGAGTGTTCAGATATCTCTTCCAGATAGTGATTTCATTTCCTTCAGATAAATACCCAGACGTGGGGTACTTCTATTTTTAATTTTCTTAAGAACCTTCATCCTCTTTTCCATAGCGGCTGTACTAATTTACATTCCTATCAACAGTGCACGAGGGCTCTCTTTTCTCCACATCCTTGCCAGTGGTGATCTCTTTTATTTTATTTTTTTAATTTTTCTTTTCAATTACAGTTGACATTTAATATTAGTTTATATTAGTTTCAGGTGTCCAGCATAATATAATTTACAAAGTGACCATCCCCCTCCCCCAATTAGTCAAGTACCCACCTGGCACTATACATAGTTATTACAATATTATTGACTATAGTCCCTATGCTGTCTTTTTCAGGACAGTCATTTTAACAGGTGTGAGGTGATATCTCATTGTGGTTTTGATTTGCTTTTCCCTGATGATTTGTGATATTGAGAACCTTTTCGCCTACCTGTTGGACCAATTTGTTCAATTTAATCCTCTTTTTGGATTTTTTCCTTTTAGTTTCCTCTTTCTTTCATTTCTTATCCTTCTTATCCTATTCCTTTCTTCATTGGAGTTTTCTTTCTGTAAATTTTTTCTTTGAATCTTCTAACTTAGGGAGCTAATACCATACCCCTCCCATACTCCAGAAACCAATGTTTTTAAATTGGGAAAGGGAGCACCTCTTGATGTAAAGATATTTTAG